AATATCTCCTCAACGAAGCCTCGGACAACATTTTCGCTAAGGAAAAAGTTGTTTCAAATCATCTCCTGAGCCACCCTATTCAAGGACTTCCAACATTTTTGGGACACACTGTGTAATAGTTGTTTAAGACTTACTGAGGACACTCGTCTGCAAGAAAAATGTTGTCTTCGGGCCGTTGCAAGTACCGCGTGGGGATCGGTTGCCAATTCAATTGGGGATTCCATTTCTGTTCTTTGTTTGGGGGGAACAGCCCAGCCAGAACAAGTTGTAAAGACATTTTCGTTCTATCGTAGTCCGAGCTCATGCCCCAAACGGACTCCGGCGTATAAATATCTCCTAAAAATCTTGGGTACCTCTCCCGAAGAACTTTTCCGAGTTGATATTCTCGTCTTTTACCTTCCTGAAATGTACAACATTTTCTGTTCGCTACAATCCCTTAAATAGAATTATCTAATCATTCTTATTGACAGTTGTCACAGACATATTTAGCGTTCGAGCTAAATTAGACAAAACATTGAAAGATAAATATAATTAGACTGAGGCTCTTTGTACGTATTTATATTTTTATATACACAGATAAAGAAAAAAAAGTTGAGTTAAATTATGTCTTGGCTTCTAAATGTTGTAAAATGTACTTTATTATTTATATTTTGTTATATTTATGTATCTTGCTCAGATTCTTATCCTTTTTTTTATATTTACACTCGTCATAAATACATAAATATCAGCAGTCTAATTATTATATTAAATAAGTCGTTGTCTCTTATACAGGGTGTCACAAAAATGTTGTAACACCTTGAAAGAGGTGGTTCGGGAGGTGATTTGAAACAACTTTTTCCTTTGCGAAAATGTTGTGCGAGGCTTCGTTAAGGAGATATTAACGGAAAACGCCTGACCAATCATAGCGCGAGCGTGACGGCGGAGGGCAGCCGCCTAGCGCGTGGCCACGCCTACCGCAGGCGTTCCACCGGGACACTCGCGCTCTGATTGGTCCGGAGTTTTCTCTTGATATCTCCTTAACGAAGCCTCGGACGACATTTTTGCAAAGGAAAAAGTTGTTTCAAATCACCTCCCGAATCACCCTCTTCAAGGACTTTCAACATTTTTCGGACACCCTGTACTTATCGTCAGAATATTTAAGAAATTTGAATTAACGCGATTTTTGATACGAATAAATGTACAGATATCTATTTAGTGGAAAATCTAGTAAATTTGATGTTCGTAAGAGACGGATTAATTAGTATCGAGAATTTTTCTAGTAATAAATAAAGCTGCTTACGTTGCTTAATTGGCCACGACCCAATGGATAGAAAGCAGAATTGAGGTATGGATCGTTTGGATACATTTCATTTGTACCTGTGTCCGGTGTCCTATCCCCATGCCTAAATATCTAAAGAATAACAATGAGTATAATGAGTACACGTGAAGATTAATTAAGTATTTTATTAAGTAAAATATCACTTAATACATTCGCGGAGAAAAAAAGTAGAAAATTAGTTACTGTAAAATCTACTCAATTTGAATCTATCCATATTAAACCGTCAAACTATAGAGTCATTTAAAAATACCGTATAAAACAGTAAAAAGCAAAATTATTATCAATAATTTTTCTATGAGTTTATGATTTTTACAAAAAGTTTAGTCATTTGTTCGACTATTTTGTTTAAAAATATTGGCTAGCACAGGATACGTTATCCTTTTACAAAAAGATAATTTGCTAATTATCTTTTTAAAAGAAAAAATGATCAAAAATCTTAAATTCTCAGAAATTCTCGAGATTCTTTCGACTGTTTTGCTCACGGTAAACATACATATATTAACAGTAAAGTAACCGTGTCTCTTACCACGTTCACTTGTCGAAGTTCTGCTCCGACGGTTGTGGCATAAATGATGGCCGTTAGGCCAATAATGGCATACATTGGCAAGGAACACGTGCGATGACTGGAGGAAATCATGTTGCAGATGTTTCTTCTGGAATCACAAATAAAAAACAACGGAATCAATTCCTTTCTCAAAATGGAGTTATTCGGTTTTCTAAATTTTACAATTTCATTTTCCTCGTATGTGACAACTTTGTTCCCAGTTATCAGGTCAATAAATTCAATGTTGTATGATATTATGTACTAGTGGAATTATTATATTGTAGAAATATATATTGTGTATATATATAATACATTATGTATTATATATTATATATAATATTGCAATTATGATATATAGTGATATATATATGTATATATACATATCCAATATCTAAAGTTACATCGTATATATATATATATATATATATATATATATATATACACATATATATATGTATACATATATATACAATATTATAGTATACAGTATACAATGTGACTTTAAAAATTGTATATATATATATATATTATATTAATATTATAATATACAGTATACAGTGTGACTTTAAAAATTGTATATGTATATATATATAATAATTATACTATTGTAAAAACATATATTGTGTACTACTATAATATTAGATATTATATATATACACACACAATATCTAAACTTACATTGTATACTGTATATTATAATATTAATATAATATAATTAATATAATTTGTATAATTTGTATATTATATATATATATAATATATAAATTCTAGTACATATATGTATATTATATTAATATTATGATATACAATATACAATGTGACTTTAAATATTGTATACATATAATAATGATAATATTATATATATATAATATTGTAATGTTACATAATATTATGTACTAGTGTAATTATAATATTGTAAAAATATATATTGTGTACTACTACAATATTAAATATTGTATATACACTTCAAGTAGCAAATTAACGTTTCGATACAAAACATTAAGAAATAGTCTCTATACTAAACAAAGATTTCCCCAAAAGGGAATCTGACAAATTTATATCAAAACAACAACAATCGAAAATATTGAAATTAAATTTCACCATATCCAAAATTATGCAAAGTAACAACATTTAAAAAATTCTCACCACTTTCTGTTATAACAATAGACCACTCTAAGCACTATAAATTTGCTCGCGTTCGAACTTCTCAAATAAATCACAGAAATTGCACCCAATTACAATCAAATTAACGATCCCCGAAGTTTCGTTCGTAAGTTTCAGAGAAGACTGTCTCCACCACCTATGTGCAAGGGTTTTTAAAGGAGAATAGCACGTCAAGGGACCATTATCCTTTCTCAGAATAAATATCAACATACAGGGTAAAATCTAAATGGGAGCCCCCATTCCCAGGCTCGCCAAACACGCATGGTTTCCTCGCCACGTAATTACGTGAAAAAATCGACGAGGAAAACCTACCAAGGGTTATCGTGCCGGTGACGTTTCACGAGTGACTCGAATTCTATAAGAAATATGGAACGCCCGCGATTATTTCGAACGTCACTATAGAAACTGTCTCACCCGGAACGATATTCCCCATTAGATCATTTTTCGACGGTCCTTTTCCTCTAATGAGCGAATACAACCGACTGGAAGATTCAGTAGGTGGTACCGGCTGACTCACTCGAATTGACGACCTTCCATTACCTGGAAACGATCTTCCCGATGAAAAAAGCAATTAAATAAAAGTTTCGCGACTCTGGAACGAAGGATCATGTAACGCTATAATTAGTTTCTTTTTACATTTTTCGTTTCAGCGAGACGCGAAGGTCGGTTGGTGTATTTTGAAAGAATTATATTCGATGGTTTGAGGAACTGTGAATGCGGACAGTTTATAATTTGTCGCGGTTGAATGTCGTTTTGTTTATGCATTTAATGCGTTTCGAACAGTACAGTAACGAGTGCAATTTTACTGGAGGAGGAGTGTACGATATGGAAATTACTAATCACGAGTCATCGGATTTAGTGGTTACGCATGAGGTTGTGGTGGAAAGTTAGGTTTTAGATTCTTAGACGACAGGAAACTGACAGGTAAATTAGCTACGGTGGGTTGGCAAGTTATTATAAAGATATGGATAATTTAATTGGATAATAATATGAACATATTTTACGTTTTTTATTTAATAAAGGCTGTGAAAAATATACCTGTATACCACAATATTAGATATTGTATATGTAGTTATACAGGGTATCCCAAAAGTCGCGTAGGAGCCGGAAATGGGTGGTAGCTGAGAAGATTCTGAACCACGATTTCCATTACAAAAATGTTGGATGAGGTTTCGTTATGGAGATATTAACAGAAAACTTCGACCAATCAGAGCGCGAGGCGGCCGCGGTCCCCGACCAATCAGAGCGCGCGTATACCGTTGGAGTGCAGGCTACG